GGTCCCTCCCTCGGTTCCCTGCGGCCCACTCCATCCTGGAGAGCAGGGGAGTCGGTCTGAGAGGTCTGGGGCCGTGCCCGCCCGCACCCTCCCGCGAGGTCCCGTGCTGACCCTGCCCGTGAGGGTCCGCGGCTGAGTCTCCACTCGGTCAGGTCCGGCGGTCCCTCCGCTGGGCTGGGAGTCTGGCGACTTTGAGCAAAGTTGGGAACCACGGCAGGAAGGAAAGCATGGAGTGGATGTCGGGCAGGATCGCAACCCCGTGCAGAGGTTCCCGCCCCCTCCCCTCCCCTCTGAAAAGGACCCTCATTCTAGAAACCAGGCCCAGGCCAGCTCAGCTGCAAATTTTTATTGAGTCCTGATGCCCAGACCTCGGCAGAGCAAGGGGGAAGCGGGGGGCTGGGGGCTTTAGGCCACCGTGGTCAGGGGGTGCACCGAGGGCCACGGCGTGAGCCAAGGCCAGGAGTCTGGTCTGTGAGACTTCAGACGGCCCCTGGAACCTGGCCTTTGCCCTCAGGGTCATGGCCACCTCGGTGGAGGTCAACAGCAGCTAGGCCTTCGGATCCAGGGCTCCAGCATCAGTGGAGAGCGGGAGGGCCCGTGCGAGGGCGTCCAGCCCCCGGTTCAGGAAGGTGGGCAGCTCAGGATGCTGGCCGGAGGGGGCGGATGGGAAGAGGCCGCTTGGTTCCAGGGCCTCCGGCTCCCTGGTCACCAAAGCAGGTCGCACGGGAAGTGCAGTCTCCGTCGCATGGAAATGGGTGCTGGGTGGCCACCACAGACCGACCGGAGAGGCAGTGAGCGATCCAGATCTTATGGCCGCGCATCCGCTCCGGACCTTCCAGCTTGCCGGGAGCGCTGAATTCGGCTGGAATGCGCTGCGAGCTGCCCCACCCAGGCTCCAGGGACCAGGACGGCACTGGGACCTCAGCTCCCCGGGGGCTCTGAGGGGCCAGATGGGGAGGGGCCGGGAGCCGGGGGTCAGGGGCCGGGGATGAGCACCCGGAGCTGGGGTCCAGGAAAGAAAGCTGGGGTTCTCGGGGGGACCCCCAGGCTTTCCCAGGAGAGTCTGGGCTGGAGGCCAGTCAATCTGGAGCAGGGGTCTCCCACCTCCCTGAGGCCCGAGTCAACCTGGGGGCTCGGGACACTAAGGTGACCACGGATCGGTCAGGGGCCGGGGCCTCGATGGCCTCGGGGATTTTCCATGTTCTCTCAGGTTCCTCCCGGGCAGAGGCCGCTGAGGACATCAGGGGTCACATGAGGGTCACCAGTGGTGTCTGCAGCCCCTTGAGTCCCCCAGGCAGGCCCAGAGCCCCTCCTCTTGGCGTCCACGAGGCCGTCAGCAGGTGGCGTGGGCGGTGGCCCGCAGCCGCAGGTGC